ATCTATCTATCTATCTATCTATCTATCTATCTATCTATCTATCTATCTATCCATCCATCCATCTATTCATGCTGAACAGTATCTTTTCTTTTGTTCAGATGAGTCAAGACACTACAGAGACGCGAACACGAACCCGCTCCAAAGGAATCCGGGGTAGGTCTCAGCACACACAAAGCCAAACCGGACTCATGTTGAAGTGAGGTGGCAGGGAAGTGGTTTTCAGATGCGACACCCCCGGGACTGACTGCTGCTGTGGGGGAGCCTGATGGCCGTAACTCAGTCAGGTGTTAGAGCCTCCACAGCAAGTGTTAGCGCCCAGTTAGGTACACAAACATGTTTATATAGCTCCCAACATTTAAGCACAACTCCATGAAATGACAAATTCCCCTAAATGATCACTTTCATGGAGTTGTGGGTGCACGGTTGGAAAGCACACGCATGCAGTAGTGCTGAGTAATACAGGCAGGCCTGGGACCTGTCAGCCCCCAGAAACATCTGGAGCACTGGGAGATGAAAGTAGAGCACGGGAGGCCTCAAACACGCCGCATTAAGCAGGATCCGCTCTTCTAAAAGTCAGGAAACCCTCTGGGACGTTTCCCGCCCTACTGTGCTACATACTGGATATGAGCTGGAGAGGAAAGTCTGGGTTTGACTCCTGAACCTCCTGTCTCCCTGACATGACCCAATCTGTGTGGCTCCTTTTGTATCCATAAATCCTGTTGACATGTAATGACTGTCCTGTTACTTTACAGCAGAACAGGTCGCACCGGACATGAAGCTGGACTTAAGGTAAGGGGGCTCGATGCTCAGTCTGCAGACCGAGGGAAGCGCTCTGTTTTCTGTGTATGTGAAGTATGTCGTTCATTTTGCTTTGTGCCAGCAGCAGCTGTCCAACCCCTGGATGTGATGGGAAAGGTCACGTGAGTGGAAGATACTCAAGACACAGGAGGTGAGGACCAGATCAGCCTCTGTGTGCAGTGCCACTATAGCCACACGCATGGATATCGCCTGTACATGCAGATATGCAGATAATCAAACTCATGCAAGTCAGTTTAACCCCGTACACACACACAGAATCACTGTAATGACACAGAAGAGACACACAAGCTCACACGGGGAAGTTTTAAAGGAAGAAAACTTCCCCTTAACACGTTATTTACATCTGGAGACCCAACATTAATCCTCCCCGACAACTCTGAAATTATGGGGGTCGACCCAAAGGAAAGCTCTTTACATGTTTTAGCTTCAAACAGCTTTTTGTTCAACTTAATAAAATTACAGAACAATCTGTAAATGAGTTGCTTGAATTTACATTGCTCAGGGAATAAAAAACTGACTGGATAGTATCATTTTACCATGATGGCAGAAGATCTAAATCTGCTCACAAAACAGTCTTTGCATGTCATTTGGTTGTAAGTCTGAGTGGAACAGCACTCCCTCATGTACCTGTCCTGCTTTCACCAGTGTTCTGGGCTGCCCCATTGTGAAGAAGAGAAAGTTAGAGGAGGCTGAGGCTGAGGAGAACCAGTCTGCATCCAAGAGGCGGAGCCAGCCGGTGAAACAGGCGGAAGAAGACAGCGACTCTGCAGAGGAGGAGGAGCAGAAGGAGGAGGAGGAGGCAGAGGAGGAGCCAGAGGAGGGAAAGGATGCCGTCCAAGACAAGAAGAAAAACAAAGCAAAAAGTACAGAGTTAATCCAATGTGAGTGGACCGAAAAGAAAGATGTCATTTGTCCGACAGCTTTTATCACAGGAGGAAACAGAGAGTAGAACGTAGCACAAAACATCATCTTTCAGTTCAGAGCTGGCATGAGGAAGTACTACGTTAAACATCTGAACACTGCTGTTTCCCAGCGAGAACATAGAAAAATGTCCCACTTGTGATTTGCTTTGGACAGAGGAGTGTAGAGGTGTGTAGAGGAGTGTAGGGGACTCTAGAGGTGTGTAGAGGAGAGTAGAGGTGTCTAGAGGTGTTAGGGGAGTCTAGAGGAGTGTAGGAGAGTCTAGAGGTGTGTAGGGGAGTCTAGAGGTGTGCAGAGGTGTCTACAGGTGTGTATGGGAGTCTAAAGGTGTGTAGGAGAGTCTAGAGGTGTGTAAGGGAGTCTAGAGGTGTGTAGGAGAGTCTAGAGGGGTGTATAGGAGTGCAGAGGAGTGTAGAGGAGTGTAGAGGTGTGTACAGGAGTGTGTAGGAGTCTAGAGGTGTGTAGGGGAGTCTAGATGTGTGTAGAGGAGTTTAGAGGTGTGTAGGGGAGTCTAGAGGAGTGTAGAGGTGTTTAGAGGAGTGTAAAGATGTCTAGAGGTGTGTATGGGAGTCTAGAGGCGTGTAGGGGAGTCTGGATGTGTGTAGAGGAGTCTAGAGGTGTGTAGGGGAGTCTAGAGGTGTGTAGGGGA